TACGGCACAACCGGTGTCCCCACCCTAAACCCCGACCCCGCCCCCCACACCACTACGCCACCCCTGCAATAGTTGTGGAAAAGTGGTGAGACAATAGCGCAATCTCAATTCACTTCTGACCACTGGAGACTAACTCCACCAAATAAATGCCTTTCGCTGCCAAAATTGACAATTTCCACTCATAATCGCCTTCATCACTTGCAGTCATGCTGAGTGATGTGTTCCCAGCTGACCGTTGCTATATCACCACCATCACAAGCATGAAGATTCTTTGAAGAAGAAGAGAAACAAGAAAATGTATATAGAAGAGTGACACACCTGCAATGTCCGTGTGGAATGGCTGCAGCGGTGTGTAGAGGGAGATAACGTGAAGATGACAACGACATGGAGAAGGCAACAACATACAGATGGCGGCGACGGGTGAAGGAAGGCGCATTACCAGGCTGACGTGAGATTATTGATGCGTACGAGAGGATGACAAAAGAATTAGGGTTTTCCTCTTATACGACGGCATTTCAGTTTTATCATTAAATTTAGTCTCTTCTTTATCCAAATGAGATCCATGTCTCATTTTTGTCTGTTCAAAAACTTATACTACTAATTTTGTTATATTTCAGTTATTTTTATACTACCTCCGTATTTAATTGTTTTGTACATTAAACTTATGCACAAAGTTAATACTCCCTTCATCCTGAGATATTTTCTTCAATAGGGGTTGACACAATTTTTAAGAGAAAAGTAGCAGGAGTAATGAATATGATATAAAAAGCAGGAGAAAGGGTGAAAATGTGTGAAATAGAAGCTAAAAATTGGAAAAGGTAAAGGCAACATAATATTTTAAAGGGAAAATTTAATACAAAAGAAAATTATACTAAAACTTAAAATAGATCACAAAAAGAAAAATGTATCAAACCTTAGGTTTAGTACACCAAATGTCTTTGTGATATTGAAATTCAGCGCATTAATCACACGTGATTTAAAAAATGTATCAAACCCCTTATGCTATAGTTAATAATGTGCAAAATCTCTTCTATGAATGAATTTAAATATCAAATAAAAGAAAAATGATCAGCAATTTTGTATATTTTAGAGATTTTGATAAATTTAGTTTCATATTCAATATTAATAATAAGAAAAGTAATGTCGAAAATGTTAAACTTGTTTACAAAAGGGGTTATGCGCGTGATTGAAAGAGTGTTTGCAGAAAATTAAAAAAAACACTTTTCAACTTTTGGCTTTAAAAAAGCTGAAATTGGTGTTTTCAAGTTACAACTTGTACTTAAATTAATCACTTAAAAGTTAAAAATTGTAAGAGGGTTGAGAGGCTCTTTAAATTGCTTTTCATTTTTTCTATTACACAAAAAAAAATTTTATCAAACACTACCAACTTTTACTTTTTCATAATCACTTTTTCTCAAACGCTATTAAGTTTCACTATTAAGTACTTTTCTCAAAATCACTTTAATAAATCACTTTTTTAAAGTAGAAGCAATCACATATACTTCTTAACACAAGGAGGTTTAACACATTTTTTAAATGACAAGTGATTAATGAGCCGAATATATATATTGTAGGGATTTGGTGCATTAAACGCATGAAACAGTTCAACATGAAGGGAGTGGTAAAGTAGTAGACGTATTAGATGGTGTAGGGAAATAAAAAGTAAGAGACGACGATAAAAGAGCAAGAAAAAAATGATGGAAAATCAAAGAAGTATAATTAATATTTTTTTTTCAAAACAAAAAGACTTAGAGCTCATTTGATGATCTTGTTTTTTTCGGTTTATCAGGCTTATCAACCAACTTTTTCAGCAAACATGTAATTTTTGATTTCATACGCTGAATTGTGTAATAATAAGAAAAAGTAAGATTAAAAGTTACTTTTGTGGCTGCATTGACTGAACTTATTGCAGAAGATCATTTTGTTTTTTTTCATATAATTTTTTCTTTATTTTATTAATAAAAATATTTTATTTTTCCCCTCATAAATTAGCAGAATCAGACTACACTCCAGTTAATAGAATCCTCTCTCTAAAAATGAGAGCTTCTCTCTCTAGGGTGGGTTTCCACCGCTAGATTTTTTTCCTCCGCTATCGTTTGTAACGAGGAGCGGTCACCGCAGGCGGGCTTAGGCGTACAAGGTTTCTTCTTCCGCCATCAATTGCGCGGCTATTTTTTTTTGCTTTGGCGAGATTAAGCGGAGGAAGAGGATGATTGGTCTCCAGCGACCGAGTGTTGTGCAGAGATAGAAGACAGATGCTTGGTCTCTGGCGGCCAAAGGTCGTGGACGAAGTGTGGGGCTAGGGACTGGAACAGATCTAGATTCAAAGTCATTCGTGATAGGTGGTGACAGAGGAGGCTTGGTAGAGAATATAATGAACAAGAGGCAAGGCGAGGAAGCGGCTACAACACTGCTGGATCGTCCCCCTCCTGAACCACCACCATGGAGTGCAGGAGAGTTTTGGGTTTGGAAGCAGCCTTTTAATTTTACTGTTTGCTTGTTATTTATTTTTCATAATTAGACTTTATTTTTCTATTATTTACTTTTATTGTTGTAAGATTCTTGCATTATGATTGAGTGATGGGAGGCATGCTTTAATCGTCATTGGCTCATTCGCCCATTATAGGATCGGTGAGTCATATTGCTTTTTAAAGGTGATTGACTCTAAGTCTGGTTAGAAGGCTGGTGGTTGCTTGTCCTTTTGTCATTTTACACTCTATCTGAATGTTGTGATATCAAATTAAGCCATATGTTTTGACGATAAAAAAACAGAATCAACCAATTCAATCACTTTAACTAGAACTTTATAATTTTTAACAAAATCAACTAATACAATCAATTTGGAAATTAACAAATTGACTCTTAGGGGGGTGTCCCCAATTTGGAGTTGAATGGATTTTAGGGGGGTGTCCCCAATTCGGATTCTGGAGGATTTTAATGGAGTTTAGAATTTTGTCAGAATTCAGGTGTCCCCGATTTGGATTTCTGTGTAATCCATGAAAATAAGGGTGTTCTCAAACATTTCGTGGATTTCTGTTGTTATTTATTTGCATGGATTTTAATGGATTTCGATGGATTTCTATATACAAAAACAATCCACCACAATCTTGTAGACTCCCCTCGGATTTCAAAATCCACGATCTTTTAAAATTCATCGAAGTCATAATCGGGGACACCCCTTTAAAAGATAATGGATTTTGAAATTCGAGGGATTCTACAAGATTTGTGGTGAAATGTTTTTGTATATAGAAATAAATTAAAATCCATTATAATCCATCCAAATAAATAGCAATAGAAATCCATGAAATGTTTGAAGGACACCGTTATTTTCATGGATTCCAGAGAAATTCAAATCGGGAACATACGAATTCTGACGAATTTCTAAACTACATTAAAATTCTCCACAATCCAAATTGGGGACACCTTAATAAGGGAGAGGATTTGTCAAGAGGATTTGTTACTGGTGTTGTAACTGTGGATTACAAATTTACAATTACAAGTGGGGCAAAGTATTCCGGAGGTAGTTGTGTGTAGATTAATATGTCGTGAGCAATCGGGAAACTTTCGGGGCCTGTTTGGTTTGGGGTAACCTCACATGAAGGCCGGAATGTGATGCACGAAACGTAAGATATCCATGTTTGGTTCACGAGTTTGAGAAAAAATCGGAAAAGTTACATTCCCGGGAATGTAATATGGAGGGGAATCTTATAACCACCCATGCCTTAGGTTATCTTACATTCCCGTAGGATGGAGCGGTTCCGGTCTGTCCGAGCCGGGCCGGGCCTACGATCCGACCCGGGGGTGTTTTGGGGTTGGGCTCGGGCTGGGTGTTTCTTTGGTACAGGCCTGGTCGGGCTCGATCCAGGCCAATTTTTTTTAGATCTTTGGGTGGTAGGCGGGTTGGGTTGGGTGTTTTGGAGGGGTTTGGGGTGTGGGGGGTGGGGGGTGGGGGGTGGGGGGTAGGAATTAATTAGAAAACCAAAAAAAAGCTACCCGGCCCGGGCCGGAACCGGTACAATCCCGGACCGGTTCCGGGCCTTAACCCTCAACAAAAAAGCCCAGTTTGGACAGGCCCGGAGCCCGGCCCAGTCCGGAACCGGTCCATCCCTACATTCTCGGGGATGGTCTATTTTTCTTCCGAAAACACCCTTAATTAATTTTCTCTTTTCATTTAATTTCCTTATATAGTGTGATTTTATAAAACTTTTAATGTAGTTTCTAAATCTGTAAATTCTATTACTAAAACTAATCTTATTATTGAAAGAGATCGGTTATTTTATGGTCAGCCGATCGTAGATTGTGTGACAACCTTTTAAGTGTGACAAATGGAGTATGTTTATTTAATTACATTCGAATGTCTATTCTTGTTATTTTCATAATTCTTTTTTCCTTAACATTTAAATCTTTTAAGGTATTTATTTTATAAGACTTATAGATTATTTAAGTTTCTGTTTAGAGGATTTCAAAATTTAATGGTAAAATTGATCATTTTTATTTAATCTTGAAAAGAAGTTTTATGAATAACTTGAACATTTTTAATTTTTTTGAGATAATAATAAATATATTTAGATTACTATTTGAACAAAGTTTTTTCACAGATCTACAACTTCTTACAATTAAACGTAGTTTACTTAAAAATAATTCAATTAGGTTTGATTTTATTTATTATTAAGATATTTCAATTTTTCTTTAATTTTAATTACTTTAGATGTAGGTTGTAATAGATTTATTGTGTTCAGATAAAATATTTAAAGGACATTAATGTAATTCACCATATCTGCAATATAAGATATCTTTCAACCAATTAAATTAATATCACATTCCCTTAATCTTAACCAAACACAAATGAAAATGAATCAGATACATTCCCATAAATCTAACATTCCCATAAATCTGACATTCCGCGGTAATCTGGATCCTGAACCAAAAAATACACTCAACGTCGTCATGATATAACCGCCCTGCATGTGACCCACGCGCAGTGCCATCTCGCGTGAAGTCTTTCCAGAAGTGAAGACAAAAGCGAGACAGAACATCATCGCCGCATTCATCCGTAATTTCGTATATGTATTTTATACGGCCTCTTCATCTCTCTGCCTCTCTCTATCTGTTTATCAAGCACAGAAGAAGAAAAACGACGAAGAAGCCGGCGCAGGAAGCTAGTTCAGGGATCCCGAGGTCCGCATTTACCAATTTGCCCACATTAACTGCAAAGATAACCCCAATTGAATTCCAGTCGCACGCTTCCCAATTTCTCTTCTCTCCCTCAGCGATCAATCACCTCATGCATTTATTCCTTCCTTCAGCCATTCTTTAATGGCCTCTTGACAAGCTGCAACTGTTTCCTTTTCCGAATTTAGTCATCTTTGTGTATGTCATTATTATCATATCTTACTTTCCTTTTTTTAATTCTGCTGAATTCTCAAGGTATTTGCTTCATCTTAATTTTTCGTCTTCGTGTACCAAATGCTAGTTATTGTGACAGTATAATTTCTCTCGTTACGCGAAATGTTCAAAAAAAAGCTGAGACTTTCGATTTTACTTTTTAATTTGGTGGTGAAGCCGTGAAGGATAAGTATTTGGGGGCGATGGTGAAATTTTGAGAGCTAAGGTCGGGAATTGTAGTGTCATTTTGAAGTTGATGGGGAGCCGCTGTGTGTTTCCCTTGACGAGCTTGCAAATCGGGTATGAATTTCAGCTTCATGTTTCCTCAACTCTTCTATTTGGTCTTTTTATACTCTTTGAGGAGATTATTTTTTAAATACTTGTTTGTAGATTTTCAAGTAATTATGAATTAACAAATACCTGTAAATATCTTGGAAATTGAGTTCATTTTCTGAATTTGAGTATCAAACAAATAACAAATAACAAACAACATTTGGTACACGAATTAACAAATGAACACTTTACCACCGTCTTGGAAATTGAGTTCAGTTTCAAATTTTGGCTTGATTTTGAATATCAAACAAATACAAAGACGGTGGTAAAGTGTTCATTTGAATTTGAGTATCTCGTACTTCTTCCTTAGAATGGGATCTTGGTGGTGTGTACGTTTGCGCGTGACTTGCTTGGTTCTGGAGTTTAACCCCATTGACTTTCTCTCTTGATTTAGCTTTTCTTTCTGTGTTATTGCAGGGATTTGCAATCTTATCTTTCACATCTTAACCTTTTCCTAGCCCGTGAGAGTAATAAAATTTACATATTAGTCGACAATCGGCCATGGTTGGAAGATCTAATCTCCCGTCCTGCACACTTATGGCAGCTAATGGTCACTAAGGTAGCGAACTTGGATTACTCTCTTTTTTTGTCCCAACCAAAAAGAGTCAACTTTGATCAAATGGAGCTAATTTTTTCTTATAGGTTTCCAAAATAGCCACTAACAAGTTATACACGACAAACAAATTTAAAAATATCTTAAGTATGGTTGAATAATTCATGATTGTAGACACTCATATCTTACGAATATTAAAAGGTGTTGTAATTGTCATGGTATGTCTTGTGTATAAAGGATTTGAAATTGTTTCAGTAATTTAAAAAGTGTTTTTATGTTTGACTGCATCTTTATAAATAAAGTCCAGGATGTCCCCTTTTGCTAATACTAGAGGCCGGAAGGGAAAGCATGGTGCTGAAAATATGCAAGGAATGCAAGCTAGTCCTGGATCAAGTACACTTAAATCTGAAAAGATTCAAAGATGGTTTTCTTTGGTTGATGCTGCAACTGTATCTAGGAGAAGGGCACTTTTACCTGTTGAGAAATTGAGGAATTCTTTATTATTGAATAGCAAACTCCACAGGACCTTATATGGGTTCATTGTTTTTGAAGTTTCTTGGGATGATGTCCGTGGTCTAAATTATTTAAATGAGCTCCAGGTATACCATTCCTTCTCTCGTACCCATCATTTGTTTAAAATCAAATGTGATGTGTAAAGCTATTAACTTTTGGTTGATTGCAGACAGATACATCACTTGCTATAGAGGCCAAATTCATGACGAGATGGGAATTTGATAGTGCATCACAAGCTGCCAGATGCATACATTCATGGTTCCCAGGGACCCACGCTGAGCAAAGTATTTTGAGAGAATACCTGGACTCTACAATTGGTATGATTTTTTGAGCATCATTTATTCATTGTCAATGAAAATAAGCCTACATTTTTTATTCTATGCGTGAATGGACTTTACACTTCATACCCATTAAAGTTTTAAAGGTGTATCTATTCTATTTCACATGCCTATAAGTGAATGAACTATTTCATGTTTTGTGCTTGCAAACACACCAACTCTTAGAAGAGGGATTATGAATATTGATGGAAATTTCTATCATCTCATGTCTTGTTGTATATGCAGATGTTGGATGTCTAAACTCAAAAGTCTGCAAGATTCTATAGTCCTCATGCTTCTCAAATTGTTTATTTTTTCCGTTGTACAAAAAACTGCAAATTGCTTCAGTTTATCCATATATGGGTTTAAAATAGTTTTGTTTTAAACACATAGTTCTTTAAACAACCTTATTTACTGTATAAAAGTCAGAGTTTCAAATATTCCAGTAATTCTCTCTCCATCCCATACTTTTCTTCTCGTTTTCGTTTTTGGTTATCCCTATGTTTTCTCTATCTTTCTTTTCAAGGAACAAAGAATGTGGGCTTGTGGTTGGTAGAATTTTAAATAAATCTCAATCACACAGATTCATTTTCTTATTAAGCATGTCTAAAATAATGAGGAAGAAAATATGGCAAAGTCGTGTACTGAAAAACCAATCATAACAAAATCTTATTAATCTTGCATTTGTTCTTGAGATTTGTGCAGGAGAAGTGTTTTACGATGCTGAAGAAAATTTTTTGTGCACTAGTGATGGTACAAATTTGACTTTGTCCTCAGAAACAATAGAAAACAACCCATTCTGTACACCGCCGCCTCCGGCCGGACCTCATAAGAAAAGAAAAGTTTTCAAATCTTGCACTAGAAGATCAGGCCCATTTTCTGAAAAATCGTTTTGTGAAACTATTGAATCCACTCATGGTTCACAGACTAATTATTATTCAAGTGAAAGTGAGGATGTAGTCGAAGCTACACAGTACAAGGATGTTTTGATTCTGTTTCGGTTTAACGATTGTGAACTCCCTTTTAAATTGAAGGACCTCATCATGTCAGATTTGCGGCTTCTTACTCTTCTAGAGTGTGGGCTTCCATCTTGGGCTATTTTCCTTCAGTCTTACCCTGGATTTTGCCGCCTTTATCGTCCATGGATGTGTCCTCTGGCAAGATTTTTATATGTGATAATCTCAGTAATAACTGTTCTTATTGGATTTTATGATCTTTATAAAAACGTACCTCTTCTCAAAGCGACAGCATCACACTTATTTGGACCCCTTTTTGATTGGATTGAAACGTGGGAAATGATTTCGAGGATAAAGTACTTGGGCACGATGTTGTTTCTTCACAATTTTCAGAAGGCTGTTAAATGGTTTTTCATGATGGCACGTACGGTTCAGTCATTTTTTGCAATTTTCACACGGCCAATATTGGAACCATTACTTGAGGGGTTAGACTTCTTTCTTCCTTTCTGGAGCATGTGTACAGAACTCATTGGGGGATGTTTGTCAATAATATGGATGGCATTGGAGAGTTCCTGCAGTCTGGTAGCGGAATTTCTTCAAATCATTTTTTTGCCATGTTGGTGTCTTCTTTCTTTTTTCTGGAACACTGGTGAGTATTGTTGATCATAGTTTCCAACATCAGCTAAATACTCCCTTCGTTCTATTGCGCTTTGCCAACTTTCCCTTTTTGGTTGTCCCAAAAAACTATGTTACTTTTCTATTAAAGTAATTACTTTGTGGTTTTGCTCATTTCTATCTCCTTTGCACGAACCTTGAATGAACCTAATCACACAACTTTCACTTTTCTTATTTCTCACCTAATTCTAAGTTGGCAAAGTTCATTGGGACGGAGGTAATATAAAAATAACAAAATCAACATAGAAAACGCCATGTCTAGTAGTCTGATGTCTTTGCCAATCCGGGACACTTCAACACACAACATAGCTAGACATCAGGCACCTCATAAGACGGCAATATAAATTATGTTACTCATTTATTATTCTTCTTATATCCCCCTTTAGTACAGAGGTAAGGTTGCGTACATCCGATCCCCCTTACCCCACTGTAGGTGGGAACCTTTGCGGCACTGGGGTAATGATGATGATTTATAATTCTTCTTACAAATTGCATTCGTAATTGCAGTAATGTTCTTGTTAAACCACGTGTTTTGGTTTATATGGGAAATACTCTATTTCCCCATCCGTTTGGTCCTTGGATTATACAGTCTTGTAGCTGGGGTGTGCATTTTTACATATAGTGTGGTTCGAGACTTGTGGGTTTTTTTTAGTAGCCTTCTCCAGTTCACTTCAGAGGTGGAGTCAACGGTGACTTCTTATGAAGCTTCAATGTGGCATTCTCTTTGGAATGACCTTTTCTCCCAGGTTGTTATATGCTTCTTAGACAATTTTCTTTCATGCTTCCATTACATAATCTAAACACTATGCCCTGTTACTGCCCCCCCCCCCCCCCCATATTTGTTTGATAGATCTTTCGAGCTGTTCGGAGCATTCTTAATGGTTTTGTTGCTTTCTTCACAACCTGCAATAGGCATCGGCTGAGGTATGATCTTTTGGGGCATTTGAAACAAATTTCTTTTACACCTCTTCTGGGAGCATTAATGGCCTAATAAGTAGTCTCCAGAATAATTAGCCTTTGAATTGATATCGGTTTTACACTTTTACCCAATGTTTACATCAAAATAACTGGCAATAATCTAGGTCAACTACAAACTTAAAGAAATGGACTCCAATATGAGTTTTAGTATATGTATACTAACATTTGCACCGTGACCTTTCCGCATTGCAGCAACTTTTGATTAATTAAACTGTCTTTTTCTCCCAATTTTAACCAATCAAGCCACAAGGGCTAAAACACTTTAAGATTATTGTTGTGCATGAATTTTTCTTATATGTACTTAAAGATTACATCTTGCAGCATTTATAATCATGTACAAGGATTTACAAAAAAACTACGTCGCCCTGCAAAGAGTTTATCTACCAAAGACTATAGCAACAGAAGAAAAATATCACTCGCTCAAAGGATGGTGAGTCTCATTAATTGTAAAATTGGCTAAATTGTGTATTTTTTAGATGAAAAGAAAATGAGATATCTTTCTTTTGGATGGTAGGGTGAATTTCTCATATATCCTTTTGTTGTGATCTTTTCTTTAACAACTGCAGTTAGAAGATGGAGAAGTGTCTAAAGGCGAAAGGAAATTAAGAAAGGTTAAGATACGATGATGTGATGGCAAAGCTTGCAATGTACATAATCTAACTGACGGTAAATTGTAGAATAGATGCAGAGTTGTAAATAATAGTTCCAAATGTGTCGATATTATTAATCTATCATTTATGTTTGTATAACCTGTTCTTTAAAAGAATTAGTTGAAACCTTTATTTCAGCTAAATAATGAATATTGAAATGTTATGAATTTAATGCTTCTTTTACTCAGTTATTCTCCACACAACAATTCGGCTTCGAGCCTTCGAGTCTGTTCTTGACGTTAAGAGTCAGAGTTCTCAGTAGCTTGAAAAGGAAATTGTATAGATTAAAATAAAAATAAAAAATGCTGTTTGTTACTCTCCTTATTTGGTTGGAAATGAGACAACTTTGAAAGGAAAAGAAACACGTGGCTGATATTTCGTTTATTAATTATTTTTTACATATAAGTTAGATCATTCAAAATATATGATCCAAAAACTATATAAGGTGCCTATCAGGCAGAGAGACGAGACGTTGGCTTGACCTGATTCAGCCATTCAGGAAGTTCTACAGATGAAAATTAGGAAAGCTCTCTTTTGGACATATTTTCAGGGAAGCCAATTGGGCCTCTCATCATCTTGCAGATCTTCGGGCCTCGGAATTTATTCATTTTAGCAGATCATCTGATCTGCCTTGCTATGTTAAACGGGCCTTCTTGATGGATTTTTTTGGTATCCCCTACTCTTTCATTATTTAATAAAATCTGGCTAATGTTCCCTAGCATTAGTCCCACTGATTTTGGTGGTTTGTCTTCCGGGGTAAAAAAAAAACTATATAAGGTGCATAATTTAACTAAATGGCCAAATGAATTTTCCTTAAATGTGATTAAATTGAAGCCAATTTTCAAAAAGTAACTACTTTGTGATTAGCAAGATAATACATACGGAGTAGTATTTTTGAAAAAATATACTAAATTTAAAACTAAATTTGAAAAAATGTGATGTCAGGATAAGATTTTTCAGATGTCTGATGACCGAAATTATTAAAACTAAACTTATATGACTAAAAAAAGATACTGACGTATGTTATCCAGTTCAAAGTTAAATTATTTTAGCCAAACACTTTAAATTATTTCAGCCCCAAAGAGAAATATGAATGGCCCGCAAGTCTTAATTGTGTAATTTAAATACAGGATAATTAGCTTGGAATCCTTGGATGATGAGTTAATTTTGTAGATAGGTTAAATTTAGTCAGAAACTCATTTAACTTGCCATAAAAATGTAGTTATTCTCATTTAATTTTTTCAAAAAGATATATTGTGGTGCATGATTTTTGCCCACAATATTGTATTGATTGGTGAGACACAATCGGGTGCTAAAGCAAAGTTGGAAGTATGATGACAAACATTGAAAATCAAGGATTTCAGATCGAGTCGAAGCAAGACCAAATATATGAAGTGTAAGTTTGGCGGAGGTGGAAGTAGTAGTAACACTGAAATTACCTTTGACGGCAATGAAATACCAGTATGATATATTCTGTTACTTGAGCTCCACAATTCAAAAGGATGATGAATTAGATAGAGATGTATCCCTCAGTATCAGAGCAATGTGGATGAAAGGAAAGAAGATCTCAATGTACTCGAGATATGCTGACTAGACTAAAGGGTAAATTTTATCGAACAACAGTTAGATCTGCATTAATGTCTGGATAGTGTATCAGAAGGTGAAACAATATCACATTCAAAAGATGAGTGTGGCAGAGATGCGTATGTTGCGTTGGATGTGTGAAAAAACTCCAGAAAAGACCGCTTGAAGAATGAGATAATCAAACAAAAGATATGAGTAACATCTATAGAAAATAAGATGCAGGAGCCTCGACTGCGATGGTTTGGTCATGTGCGCAGAAGATCGAGTGATACACTTGTTAGATGACTTGAGAGGTGGGGAGGAGAGGGAGAGAAAAACCCTAACAAACTTGGATCAAGGAAATCAGAATGGATATGCTTCCTTTTAGGTTAGATGAGAGTATGATTTTGGATAAAATAAAGTGAAGAACACATATTCGTGTGGACAATTGATCTATTTTCCCTCTTCCCACTCATTTTTCTTTTGTTATTTATCTTCTTTATCTTTCTATGTTCTTATGTTATTCTTATCTTTTATCTTTCTTATTCTCTTTTATCCTTTTATATTTTTATCTTTCTCATGTTCTGATGCTATTTTCTTTTTATATTTATCTTTATGTCATCTATTTTATCTTAGTTTATCTTTTTATTCTTCTTATCTTTCTTCTATTTTTGGTTATGATATCATGGATTGATTCATGTTAGTCGACTATGATCTTGATGTTATAATGTTAAACCATTTATACTCTCAAACCATAATTATAAGGCACTACATCGTTTATTCATTTCTTGAGATCATTAAGCTCATTGCACTCCTCACCAATAGAATTGACTCTTCCAAATGGGTGTTTGAATTTTTACTTGATCAAAGCGTGAAGTCTTTTAAATATCAGATGGCTAACATAGTAAAAACTTGTTGGATTTTTTTCTTTGTTTTTGACTCATGAGGAAAATCCAACTATTGAGCCCATTAAAGTCTTATTTAGACTTTCTATTTGGGGAGCTAATAATAAAAATGGGTCTGCCATCTATCAAATTGATAAGGACATAGTGAGAGCAACAAAGAAGTTCCTTTTCCAGTACACAGCAGTAGAGAAGTTCCTTTTCCTGGAGATTGAACCGTTGGATAATCGTGAAATTCGGACAGAAGCTACACAACATCTGAGCCAACATTCTGGACGGTGGAGATCGGTTTTGAGGTCCGGAGGTCTGGTTTCGTTGGTCTGGAAAGTAGCTATTTTTCTGGTGATGTGCTTAGTTCCAAGGATATGATGATTTTGTATGCCTCTAGTATTATCTAGAGAAGACTTTGTACTGCTCCTTTGATGATAGTGGATTTAAGCGGCCAAAATGGTCCTGTGGTTTTTCCTTAGTTTCTGGGGTTTTCCACGCTAAAATTCCGGTGTCTTTGTGTTGTGTGTGCTTACTGTTTTTAGCTCAATATCTTGGTGCATAGCAGTGATATTGTGTGTGTTCTAATTGCATTAAGAACACCCTATTTGTTTGCATCCTCAAAGGTTCATTCAAGTTGGGAAAGTTTAGCCAAACGGAAATTAATTCTGCATTTTATTAGTTACCGTTTGTGGCTGTTTTTCCCATCAAATTGGTATCAGAGCCGAGTTCTTCTGTATTGGGTTAGACTTGTTTGAATGATGGAAGCTAACACAAGTAGGATGATCAATTTGAATGATTCTAATTATCATGTTTGGAAAGGCAAGATGGAAGACCTTCTTTATGTGAAGGATTATTATTTGCCTGTGTTTACTACTGATAAACCTGAGAGTAAAACATATGCAGAGTGAAATATTTGCATAGACATGTTTGTGGGTATATTTGTCAATGGGTTGATGATAATGTTTTGAACCATATTAGCAGGGAGACTCATGCTCGCACTCTGTGGAACAAGCTTGAACAGTTGTATGCTAGAAAGACCGGGAACAATAAATTGTTCTTAATAAAACAGATGATGAGCTTGAAATACCATGATGGAACTCCTGTCACTGATCATTTGAATTTTTTTCAGGGAATCATAAATCAACTTGCAGGAATGGGTATCAAGTTTGAAGATGAGATACAAGGCTTGTGGCTCTTTGGCACTTTACCGAACTCATGGGAGACTTTTAAGACATCATTGTCCAACTCTGCACCAGATGGTATTATCACCATGGAATTAGCTAAAGGCAGTATTTTAAATGAAGAGATGAGAAGAAAGTCACAGGGTTCCTCTTCACATTCTGATGTCTTAGTTTTAGAAAGCAGGGGGAGAAGTCAGAGTAGAGGTCCAGGTAACAAAGGGAAGCATCGAAGAAAATCCAAAGGAAAGTTTGCTGATTTTGAGTGCTATCATTGTTGTAGAAAAGGGCACACAATACGATTCTGCAGGCAATTGAAAAAGGAGAAGAAGAAGAGCGATTACAGCAATCAAAAGAACCATAAGAACGATGAGGGTGGTAATGGCAATGCTGAAGTTAACAATACTACCGAAGAGTTTCTTATTTGTTGTGATCTTGATATGATCAACATTGCACATGATGATTTGAGCTGGGTTGTTAACAATGGTGCTACGTGTCATGTAACATCACAGAGGGATTTTTATTCATCTTACACTCCAGGTAACTTCGGAAGTGTTAGGATGGGTAATAATGGACTATCAAAGATTGTAGGCATCAGAGATATTTGTTTGAAGTTTGACACTCGGATAGAGCTTGTTTTACATAATGTAAAACATGTTCCAGATATGAGACTTAATTTGATCTCCGCGGGCTTACTTGATGATGATGGTTACAACAACAACTTTGGTAATGGAATATGGAAACTCACTCGTGGTTCTTTGATCATGGCTAGAGGTAAAAGATGCTCAAAATTGTACATGACACATCTAAAGATCTTCAAGGACAGGGTCAATACTGTGGTGAATACTGACATGACTGATTTATGGCATAAGAGACTTGGTCACATGAGTGAAAAAGGGATGTCTCTTTTGTTGAAGAGAAATGTGTTACCGGATGTGCATGAAATTCATCTAAAGAAGTGTTCTCACTGTTTGGAAGGTAAATAGAATAGGGTTTCCTTTAGGAGCCATCCTCCTTCCAGGAAGGAAAATATACTTGATCTGGTGCATTCTGATGTTTGTGGTCCTATGAAGACTAGGACACTTGGTGGTTGCTCCTACTTTGTCACATTCATTGATGATCACTCCAGAAAGGTATGGGTTTATACCTTGAAATGTAAAGATCAAGTATTTGAAGTGTTTAAGCAGTTTCATGTCTCGGTTGAGAGACAGACTGGAAAGAAGCTCAAGTGTATTCAGACAGATAATTGAGGTGAATACATTGGACCATTTGATGCTTATTGTAGAGATCATGGTATTCGACATCAAAAGAGTCCCCCCAAGACACCACAGTTGAACGGATTAGCAGAGCGGATGAACAGAACTTTGATGGAGCGTGTCAGATGTTTGTTGTCACATGCAGGGCTGCCAAGTTCATTCTGGAGAGAAGCTTTGAATACAGCGGTACATGTTATTAATCTAACGTCTTGTGTTCCTTTGTCTTTTGATGTACCTGACAGGGTTTGAAGCGGCAAAGATGTTTCTCACCGTCACTTAAGGGTCTTTGGATGCAAAGCTT